GGAAGCCTGCTTCTCCCTCTCCCACTCCCCCTGCTTGTGTTCCCTCTCTCGCTGTGTCTCTCTCTGTCAAATAAATAAAATATTTAAAAAAAAAAGTAGGAAGAGATTATGATGGAATAAATATAGGAAGAATTCTGGCGTAATGAAGAGAAATAATACAAGAACAGTGAACTGTGGCACCAGAATCTGAGTGAAGTTTCTCAGATGATTTCACTGTGTTAATAGTTTATTTCCTTTTCCCCTCCTATTTCAGGTCTATAAGATGTTCTCATTCTGGTATGGTCACTACCCCTATCAGGTGGCTGAATATGATGAGTGTCCAATGTCTGGCTCCTGGGACGCTCCTCAGCCCCTCTCAATTATGTGGAGGCCTTGGTTCTCTGAAGGCATGGACCTTTTCCATTTTTTCCAGGTAGATGTTCTTACCCATTTTGTTCTTATAGAAACAATGGTGGTGGGGTGGAGGGTGAAGGAAAGTCCATATCTAAAAAAGCAGAGAGACTCATGTGGGCACTGAAGGGATAAAATCTTGGAAGAAACTCCTGATATGTGAGGTAGCCTCTCTTGGTCCTTATGCTTGAAGAAGGGGCCCAGTTGCCTGATTGCATTGGAAGAGAGCCACTATGAGAGGCTGTGTGCAGCCTCTTTCGGTCCCTGAACAAACTGATTCCCATGGGATCAGCCGAGAAGGAAAAATGAGGAAAGGTAGACCAGAGGTCTCTTAACTATTGTTATAAAAAGTACTACATGAGTAGAAATTGAGTACTTTATGAGTAGAAGTTGGGGATGCTGTGGCCCAAGGCTGACCAGGAAGTCTCTGAAGTCAGGAACCATGTCTTGTTCATCTTTGTATTCTAATGACTGATCCTTCATAATACTCAATGTATTTTTGTTGAATTAACGAGCCAATATGGTTCCTGCCCTCAGAAAGTTCAGTCTAAATCGAATAATAATGACACAGTGACTAATATTTGGGAGAAGCGTTAAACATATTTGACAATGAAATAAGTGGAATACTATTCAGCCATAAAAAAAGAGAATGAAACCTTGCCATTTGCGACAACATGGTTGGATCCTGAGGGCATTATGCTTAGTGAAATAAGACAGAGAAAGACAAATGCTATATGACCTCACTTATACATGGAATCTACAAAACAATGACAACAGTAAAACCAAGCTCATAGGTACACAGAACAATGTGGCGGTTACCAGAGGCAGGGGCTGGGGGTGGGCAAAATGAGTGAAGGTTGTCAAAAGGTACAGACATTCAGTTGTAAGATAAATAAGTCCTGGGGATGTAATATACAGTGTGGTGACAGCATGGTTTTAAGAGTAGATCTTAAAACTTCTCATCCCAAGAAAAAAAAGTTTTCTAACTATGTATGGTGATGGACGTTAACTAGACTTATTGTGGTGATCATTTTGCAAAGTATATTTTTAAAAAAATTGAAGGCCTTTCACATTAGCTGACAGAAGCAAACAAAACCTTGGTGGCTGAGTATTGGGTAGTAACCACCAGTCTCACAATTAATAGGAAAAGAATGTCTTGGTTCAGTCCTTTGAGGGTGGAATTCCTAGGCAGTTGCCCTGGTAGTAAGGGAGGGGACCACCCTAATACTTCACTGTCTGGTTTCTTTGGTGCCTGTCAGGGCATGGGCCTGAAAATACTGTCCAATGCCAAAATTAAGAAGCCAGTAGATTGCAGTCAACAGTCTCTAAAATACAGCATTGCAATGTCTGGAGGTAAGCTACCTGTGTGGCTTGTGGATTCTCTGAGATGTTTAAATCATGGAACTCTGAAAACTTACGCTTTGCCTCCTATTTCTGCACTGAGCCTCTAGCCTCAGAATGGCAATGGGTTGTGGGTCATAGATGCAGGCAGCCGGATCTCTCCCCCTGGGGAGAACTTTTGAAGCCTGAAGCCCTTACCTATTCATCCCCTGGCCCAGCCTCTTCATCTGTCACTTCCCCCTGATGGCCTTATGACTAGGCAGTTCCTCAGTGGTCCTTCCTCCTTGTCTCTGACTGGATGTTCTCTGTTTCCCTCTAAATTTCTTGGTAGTAGTCCCTCTGCCTCAATTTGTCTCACAACGGAAGTCTTCTGTTTTCCCCTCAATTCCCTTATTCTTGCTCTCCTTAGCAAATTACCAATAGGTGAGGAGAGTTTTGAGTCATCATCATCTTCATCACTTCAGTCAGAGAACTCTCAGGTCTGTCAATACTTCCCGGAGACTTGGCTCTGGGATCTGTTTCCTATTGGGTAAGTGATGCCTCAAAGGTACAGCAAGATTGTACAGTGGGAGAGTCAGCAGAAAACTCAGACTCAGATAATTTCTAATGAATCTAAGTCTCAAGCCAAGAGAGTTTAATGGGGACGTGGGAACTTGCTTCTTTCCCTGAATTCTTAGGCAATCATAGGCAATCCCTCAAAAAGAACTCACATGTCTCCACATTTACAGAGTGCAGACAGTGCATTTGGAGTCCAGGTCCAAGAGACGTAAAGACATGTGTTGACCTCCTGCCCACTGCTTACCTGCTCATTTTGACAAGCCCCCTCTCACCTCAAGGCTCATGTGTCCAGCAGGCACATGAAAAGATGCTCAACATCACTAATCATCAGAGAAATGCAAATCAAAACCCCTCCCAGATTCAGAGGGCACTGGCCTCTTTCAGATATGTTTGCACATGGGCCCCCCCTACTCTCATTCACCCCCTCATATCCTCACACACCCCCCCTTCTCCCATATTCATACATCCTCGCTCACCTGAACGTTCACACTCTGAGATTTGCATGTTCCTCAGTTCATTTGCCTTTTTACCCCGCCCCCCACAACAACAGCAACAAATGACTTCTGTAGGTAAATTTATAGCTTATATCACAATGTTCTCCTGCTCTGTGCCTCACCTGGGTTCTTGTGTTCTCACAGTGACTCTGGGAGGGAGGCTGTCCATGTCATCGTTCCTGACACCATCACCGAGTGGAAGGCCATGACTTTCTGTACCTCCCAGTCCAGAGGCTTTGGTCTTTCACCTACTGTTGGACTGACTGCTTTCAAGCCATTTTTTGTTGAACTGACTCTCCCTTACTCAGTAGTTCATGGGGAATCCTTTCGCCTTACTGCCACCATCTTCAGTTATCTGAAGGACTGCATCAGGGTAAGAGTTGGGGATGCAGGAAGCAGATGCCCCTGGGAAAGAGATGGGATGTGTCTCCACCCCCACATTTTCCCAAGCCTCTGTGTGTTATTTCCTGTACTCAGACCCTTTATTTCTTAAACATCTGTAGGTTCAGACTAACCTGGGTACATCAGATAAGTACCAGGTGGAATCGTGGACAGATTCTTGGGGCTCCAGCTGTCTCTGTGCTGATGAAGCAAAAAGCTATCACTGGAATATCACCCCTACCAAATTGGGTAAGAGAAGGAAGCGATAGAGGAGCAAGGAAAGCATAGAGCAAAAGCTCAGTGATTGAGAACTTTACCCTTTCCTCTCCTGCATTTGCTTTGTTCTCTCATTCTTTCTCATTTTATTTGCCTCTGCTCTTTGATGACCAAAAAATTATCCAAACTAGACAATTTTGAGTGTGAAAAGGGAAGCTTTTAATATTTATGCCAGGGCAAGGGATATATAGTCATGTTACTTATCAAATAGTTACTGTGGGACAGCTGCTATTCTAACTGCTCGACATGTGGTAACTCATTTAATCATCACAATAACCCTGAGATGTCATTTGCTCTTAGGATAAAACCCTGGTAACTTAAAGTATGGTTTTCAGATGTATAGTTATCTACTGCTGCTTAACTAGTCACCCTAAAACTTAAGAGGCTTGGGACATCTGGGTGGCTCAGTCAGGTAAGTGTCTGCCTTTGGCTCAGGTCAGATCTTGGGCTTCTGGGATGGAGCCTTGCTCATGCTCTCTAAGAGATAAATAAAATCTTAAAAAACAAAACAAAACAAAAAACCCCCAAAAACCAACAACTTAGAGGCTTAAAAGAACAAACATTTATGATCATCCAGTTTCCATGGGCCAGTAACCTAAGTGCAGAGTGCAGCAGGGTGCCTCTGGCTCAGGGTCTGTCACGAAATACCAGTCACGCTGTCAGCAGGGCTGTGTTTTCATCTGGAGACTTGACTGGGAGAGGATCCACTTCCACTGTCCTCCCAAAGCCTCTGTCCCTCAGAGGCCTCAGCTGTGGGCTAGTGGCCTCCCTCAGTATCTCATCACATGAATCTTTCCACTGGGCTGCCTCAGGACAGGACAGCTGCATGCCTGCTGAGCAAATGGCCCAAGAGAAAGAGTGCACCCGAGACAGAAGTTATAGTCTTTTTTATAACCTAGTCCCAGAAGTGGCATCTCATTGCTTCTGCCCTATCCTCTTAGAAGCAAGTCGCTCAGTCCAGCCCACACTCCAAGAGGAGCTTACACAACAGTGTAAATATTGGGATGCAGGGATCACTGGGGGCCCTTAGAGGCTGCCTACCACACTGGACCAGTATTATTGACATCACCTGGAAATTTGTTAGAAATGTGAATATAGGCCCCACCCCAGAAGTACTGACTCAGTTTGTATTCTAACAAGATCTGCAGGTCTTTGCATGTTGTTAAGTTTAAAAAGCACTGGTCTACAGGGGAAGAGACCTCATTGGTACCTCTGGCAGTAGGGCTAATGCCTTCTTTTCCCCTTCTTTCTTCCAGGTCATGTGAACTTTACCGTCACTACTAAGATTCTGGACAGCAATGAACTCTGTAAGGGGCAGAAGGGGTTCGTTCCAGCAAAGGGCCAGAGTGACACACTCATCAAACCAGTTCTGGTCAAGGTGAGTTTTCTTTTCCTTCCCTTCCCTTCCCTTCCCTTCCTTTCCCTTCCCTTCCCTTCCCTTCCCTTCCCTTCCCTTCCCATCTCTTTCTTTCTTTCTTTCTTTCTTTCTTTCTTTCTTTCTTTCTTTCTTTCTTT